TTCAGCTTATTCTGGCTTTCAACGTGCCTTTTTCACTGAGCTTAATCATTTCTGCCTTTTAATTTAAAGTCGAGACTTGCAACTCTTCCTTTCATTTAACACCTAGAGGGCACTGTAGAGCTATTAATTGGCCTAATTTCAGTATGGTTGTGTCTCAGGGAATAAGAAGGCCCAAGGAGAGGGAGAGAGGTGGGGGAACGGTCAGTGTGCGGAACAGTCATATCACACACATTTATCAATTAAGTTAGCTGTTTTACACAGACATGGTTTGCGGTGTCCTAAAACAATTACAATAGTAGTATCAAAGATCACTGATCACAGATCACCATCACAGATATGATAATCATGGAAAAGTTTGAAATATTGTGAGAATTACCAAAGCATGCCACGGTGACAGGAAGTGAGCACCTGCTGTTGGAAAAATGCTGTAAATAAACTTGCTTAATGTAGGGTCACTGTATACTTTCAATCTGTTTAAAAAATACATGATCTGCAAAACAATAAAATGAAGTGCAATAAAAGAAGGTACACGAGAAGGGCATGGAAAGCACTGGGTAGAGCTCTTAGTAAATGTTAGCTATTGTTATCCTCATTTTACAGACAAGAAAACTGGCTTAAGAAATGAGATAAGGAGCCAGGCGTGGTGGCTCACACCTGTAATCCCAGCACTTTGAGCGGCCAAGGTGAGCAGATCACTTGAGCTCCAGAGTTCGAGACCAGCCTAGGCAACATGGCGAAACCTGTCTCTACAAAAAAATACAAAAAATTAGCTAGGCACGGTGGCACATGCCTATAGTCCCAGCTACTTGGGAGGCTGAGGTGGGAGGATGACCTGAGCCAAGGAGTTCGAGGCTGCAGTGAGCTGAGATCAAGCCACTGCACTCCAGCCAGGGTAACTGGAGTGAGACCTTGTCTCAAAAAGAGAGACCAAAGTAAAGTGAGAAGCGAGATAAAGTATAGGGTATTAGGTAGCCATACAGGCTACCTTTGTAAGTAGGATAGGTTTAGTGCCCTTAGGAACCAAGTGACTTGGTTGGTGAGGGAAGGACCCTTGCCCTGCCATTTCTGCTGGCTCTCCTCAGTGCATGTGACACTGTTCTTGGGGTCAGTTTTCAGTGCCAGCTGTGGTCCTTCCTCCTGCTCCCACACATCCCTGCCTCCTGCAGGCCGCACCTCCCACCCCTTCCTCTGTTGGCGCACTGTCCTCTGGCTCTGTCTCAGCCCTCCCACTCACACTCTGCAATTCCCCAAGCCTTACACATATCCCTCAGTGAGTGGTGAACCGAGTTACGTGATACAGAAATAAGAACAGTGCAAATCTTTATAGGCATATTTATAGATCGCATACATGAAAAGAATATAAAATAACAACAGGAATGATCTTTTGAAATATCTCTTTAGCCTGCTTTGAACCAGCCTGATGAAAATGAACACCTCTGACAAGCACAGGTATGTGTATGCCCCTGAGCTGCACTTCCCCATCTTACAACAACTCGGAATGTATTTTAAAATTTGATTTCCAGTAAGTAGTCTAGGCTTATATTTTCCTGTTTTATAGAATGGCTACAAAAGCTTCTGTGAGTAATAGCAGTGGCTCGTAGACATTAATTAGTGTCAGGCACTTTACTGACACTTAGTGAGTGTCAATTGGAACCATACTCACTGGGTGAGAGCGCTTAGTAAATGTTAGTTTTATTTTATTATTAGATGGAGACTTGCTCTGTCGCCCAGGCTGGAGTGCAGTGGTGCAATCTTGGCTCACTGCAATCTCTGCCTTCTGAGTTCAAGTGATTCTCCTGCCTCTGCCTTCTGAGTAGCTGTGTCACCAGCTGTGCCACCGCACCCAGCTAATTTTTTTGTATTTTTAGCAGAGATGGGGTTTCATTGTGTTAGCCAGCATGGTCTTGATCTCCTGATCTCGTGATCTACCTGCCTCTACCTCCCAAAATTCTGGCATTACAGGAGTGAGCCACTGTGCCTGGCCAATGCTAGCTATTGTTATCCTCATTTTGCAGAAAGGAAAACAGGCTTAAGAAGTGAGATAAGGCCGGCCGTGGTGGCTCACGCCTGTAATCCAAGCACTTTGGAGGCCAAGGCAGGCGGATCACCTGAGGTCGGGAGTTTAAGACCAGCCTGACCAACATGGCGAAACCCCGTCTTTATAAAAAATAAAAAATAAAAAAAAGAAGAAGTGAGATAAATTAATAGGGTATGAGCCCACAGGCTATGTTTGTAACGAGGATAGGTTTAGGGCCCTTAGGAATCATATTAACTTAATTAGTAACCAATTGACACTTAATTGGTGTCAGGCACCTTACACACATTTTCTTCTTTAATCCAGTGAGTAGGTACTGTTGTCTCCACTAACAGATGAAGAAACTGAGGCTTTGAGGCATTAAAGCAATAAAGCCACACACAAGGGAAGTGTGACAGCGGTGCTTCAGGTTTTACAAACCGTGCTCTTCACCATACGTGTTACTGCCCGCCTGGCACTGGTGCTGGCTAGAGAAAGGAACTTCAATTAGGGATGCTGTTGAAAGAACTTCAGCATTTGTTCCACGAATAATTGGTAGCTCCTGCTCTGTGTATGCCAGGCACCGTGCTAAGGTCCAGGACAGGATTTAGAGTTTGTCTTTGATGAGACGTGCCCATGTATGTGGGAAGCTGTGTGGGGACAGGGGTACAGGGTCGGAGATGGTTGGTTTAGATGAAAGGTCTCCAACTCAAATGTCTGCATGCACCAGGCAGATCACGCAATGTACCAAAGACAATAGGAAGCAGTGAGGATGGTGGCCTCCTGCAGAGGGTGTGCCCTTCAGAAAGCCAGGCCATCATTCACTCCTACATGCTGTCAACAAGAGGAAATATCTTCTCAATGTTACCAAATATTCTGTGGTTTTTTTTTTTTTTCTTTAAAACAGATCCTGGAAATCCAGTTTATATGGAATTTCCCAGTTAAAAAAAAAATACTGTGTGGGCCAAATAAAGCACTGGAGAACTTGGTGACCTCCAGGCTTCGAGTGTGTGACCTCTGGCCGCTTTCAAAGGCCTCTTCCAGCTCTAGGACTCAATTCTAGGAAAAGCCTCAGACCACTGTGGTTTACCAGCATTTTGCCCAAGTACTGAATATGTTAAACATGGAGGTTTGGTAGAATGAATGAAACTCAGTTGTTTGTGGTATCAGCAGGCCGAAAATGGAGTAAGAAGGAAACAAATAAAAATATCTAAACATGCTGCATAAACAAACTTGTGGGGAAAGCGTCAGATATTTCAACTGGTCTTCTGGTTCACGGTCATTTAGGTTGTTTCCAAACTCTTATAAAAAATTGCCTTAATGACTAGTCCTGTACATATGCCACTTTGCACAGGTAAACTAGAAGTGTAGAGTGGCCAGGTTAAAGGACATACATGTCTGTGATTTTTATATTACTGTTGCACTGTCTGTCACAGAGGCATCTAACTCCTACCAGCAACACGGGATGCTGCGTTTCTCCCCATTCTTCCCCAACATAGTGTGTTACCGAGTCGTTTTATTTCTGACAATCCAAGTAGTTACTAGTGCAGTGCTAATTTGAATTTTTCTTACTATGAAGGAGGTTGAGCATATTTTCATATATTCTGTATTTTGCCTTTATTTCTTTGTATTTTGTCTTTATTTAGAATTTTTTTAAATTTACTGTTTGAATAGGTTCGTATGGTCCAAAATTCAAAATTACAAAATGGTAAGCATTGAAACCTCCCTTCCACCTGTGTCCCACAGCCACTCAATTCCATAGGCAACAATGTTATGGTTCTTGTACATTTTTTCCAGAGATACAAGTATTTATATATGTGTCTTTCACTATTGTTACACAAATGGTAGAATATATACATTTCTATGTTTTGCTTTTTCCCCCATTAGCAATATATCTTGGAGAACTTTCCTTGTCAGTGTATATGAAATTGCCTCATTCTTTTTAATGACTGCATAATTTTATAGAATGGCATATCATTTACTTAACTGGTCTTATTTTATTTTTATTTTTTTTTGTATTTTTAGTAGAGACAGGGTTTTGCCATATTGGCCCAGGCTGGTCTCAAACTCCTGACCTCAGGTGTTCCACCCTCCTCAGTCTCCCAAAGTTCTGGGATTACAGGTGTGAGTTACTATGCCCGGCTTATTTAGCTAGTCTTCTGATTCATGGTCATTTAGGTTGTTTCCAAACTCTTATTATAAAAAATTGCCTTAATGACTAGTCCTGTACATATGTCACTTTGCACAGGTAAACTAGTAGTGTAGAGTGGCTAGGTTAAAGGACATACATGTCTGTGATTTTTATATTACTGTTGCACTATCCCTTACAGAGGCATCTAACTCCTACCAGCAACACGGGATGCTGCGTTTTCTCCCCATTCTTCCCCAACATAGTGTGTTACCGAGTAGTTTTATTTTTGACAATCCAAGTACTTATTAGTGCAGTGTTAATTTGGACTTTTCTTACTATGAGGGAGGTTGAGCATATTTTCATATATTTAAGAGCTGTTTTTATTTCCTTTTCACTGAATTATTTGCTCAAATCTGTTGCCTATTTTGTTTTTTCTATTGGGTGGTTGCTCTTACGGATTTTTAGGGATCTTTATATATTGGGAAAATTAGCCCAATGTAGAGTAGTAAATATTTTCCTCAAGTTTATAATTTTATTTTTAGCCTATGGTAGTCATTCAATGCAGAATCTTTAATTTTTATGAAAGCAAACATATTGACCTTTCTTCTATGCATTCTGGATTTTTTGGGTCATGTTTAGAAAGACCTTCTCCACTTGTAAGTTTAAAGACATTCTCTTATACTGTCTTTGTTATTTTAATGAATTTTAAAATGCTTTCAAGTCTTTGACTGAGTTTGAATTTATCTCAGTGTATGATGTGAAGTATTAAGTCAACCTAATTCTTATTCCCAAATGGCTACAGGGTTGTCCTAAAACCTTTATAGAACAGTTCATTTAGAACTTTCAACAGCCTACCTCTGTATATTTTCGACTTCCTCGATGGTCTCGGGCAAAGCCTTCCCTTTAGTTTCTGGTAGCAACAGCACCAGACCTCCAGCAACCAAGCCAACCACGGCTGAAAGCCAAACAGATGAAAATCACATTAAGAACCGAAAAACTCAAGGTCTACAATTATAGTTTCTTTTATTTTTGTTTAAAACATTTTTGGGCGTTTTTCTGTACCTATTTGCAGATTCCTTTGCCTTTTGTGATGCTGTATTTTCCATTATAAATATTATACCAGTTCCAAACTCCATTGAATTACAATTCCTAATAGGGAAATGAAATACTTAACATTTGGAGTCAAGGTTATTCTAGGGTAGAGGACATTACCACCATATTAAGATACTTCGGAGTTGGAAAATAACTCTGCAAAAAATTAACTGTATGAAAAGGAGGACCATAACCCTGCCAGTATAATGCACTTAGTAAGAAAAATAAGTCAGAAACTTGGATCATTTCTAGCAAATAAAAGTGAATTATGTATTTATTACTATGTAAGAGCACTAAAAAGCATAGCTAGGATTTTAGTTAAAATTTAGGTGTTCACTAAATCCCATTATTCCTTTTTTTCCCCTTTGTCTCTAGCTATAATCTTTAATAATAAACAGATGTTTTTGTTTCTTTAGATTCTAATAAAAGTTTTGATCTTTTAAAGTTGTATTTATATGTGTTTTAAAATAATAGAATACAGAAAACAGGATATGGGTTCTTTACTAGTTTTGAGGTCTCAAAACACTGCATGTCAGTCTCTATCTTTACACCCTCAGAAAATGGCTGAAACAGAAGCTGCAGGGAACAGAACCCAAGCTCTGGGAACCTGGGCTCCAACTCTGGCCCCCTCACCTACTGGTCTCAGGGCCTCGGGAAGTTCTGTCATCTCTCTGATGCTCCAGACTTTCCTATATAAAGTGGGATAATATACTGTCAAATCAAGTTTAGCTTACAGCTGCCTCCTTACATATTTTAAGTTTGGCCTAAAGGTTTCTCTACTCATTGTGAACTATAGATGGAATTGTAAACACACTGTAGCCCACTCCTGTGCTAAGTGAAACAGCCTTTGCAAAATTATGACTGAGACAATGAAAGAAATCTAACTTAATCGGCTTCATCTTACTTCTAACCTCCAACCTATCCTTGTTCAGTCTTGGGTGTAGGCTGAACTAACTTGGGGAGAAACTTATAGATTAAAACAAAGATGACCACAGCCAAAGCAGACCTCTTTATTACCTCTGGACTAGGTTGCCTTTGTAAGACTCACATTAGCCACACAATTAGAAATGATGGTTTAGGAGTCATGCAGCTGGAGGCTACAGGATTCTGAACCTTTCTAAACTGCTGGTAAAATCAGTGCTGGAGATATTTCGCAGACCCTGCACTTGGTGGATCAGCTAGCACTACCCAAATCAATAAACTGGCTCATCTGATCTTGTGGCCCCACCAAGAACTGACTCAGCACAAGAAGACAGCTCTAACTCCCTGTGATTTCATCAATCTGCACCCTCGGCTAACTGTCTTCCCCCAACCCACCAAGTTGTCCTTAAAAACTCTACTCCCCAAACGCTCAGAAGATTGATATGAACAATAATAAAACTCCAGCCTTCCCACACAGCCGACTCTGCATGAATTACTCATTGTCTATTGCAATTCCCCTGTCTTTAGAAATTGGCTCTGTCTAGGCAGCAGGCAAGATGAACCCCTTGGGCAGTTACACAGTCCCCGAGTTTTAGCCAGTCAAATGCGGCCAACTGTTCGAACCATGTTCAAATAAGGCAAACACCAAGCTGTAATCAATCCAGCTGTTTCTGTACATCGCTTCCAATTTCTGTATGTGGCTTTCCTTTTTCTGTCCATAAATCTTCTACCATGTGGCTGTGCTGGAGTCTCTGAGCCTACTCTGGCTCAGGAGGTTACCTGATTCACAAATTATTCTTTGCTCAATTAAATTCTTTTAAATTTAATTCAGGAGAAATTTTTCTTTAACAATATCACCTCATAGATGTAAACCAAAAATAAAGATTGAAGACCAACAATTGATTGAATTGAACCGAAAAACTTCAAGGTTTTTCACCCCCACCCCTTCCCATTCACACCCTGATGGGAAGAAGTAGGGGTCATACATGTCTCATTATACCCTCTCCTTTTTGGGGTTCAAGCACAATTCACCAGTGTTAACATTAAAACACATCTTAAGACTGACACGACAGACTCTTTGTAGAAATAAGACAGCAAATTCCAACCTGAATAATGTCACATGACAAAGAAGGAAATTAAAATATTTTACCCCCAAATATATTTCCTTGCCCTATTTTGAAACAGCCTGGCAAAGCCATCTTTTTGGAGAAAATTTGTATCTGTAAAGAATCTCTATTACAATAACTACATCTTTCCCCTTCTAGACCCTCCCAATCCTGAAGAGATTAACTGAGAATCTAGCACCTTTTAAAGATCTGAATAGGAAACATTGCCATTGTCTCTAAGGGCACTAACTATGAGATTTCATCTATCTAATAAGGGCCTTGGTTTCCATACATCTTTAGATAATAACTCTTTAAAGCAATTGCCAATTGGAAAATCTTTGAATCCACCTATGACCTGGAAGCCCCTGCTTTCAGTTGTCTTGCCTTTCTGAACCAAACCAATGGATACCTCATAAGTATTGATGGATGTCTTTTGTCTCCTTAATATGTATAAAACCAAGCTGTAACCCTACCACGTTGGATACATGTTCTCAGGACCGCTTGAGACTGTGCCTCAGGCCATGGTCACTCATATTTGGCTCAGAATAAACTCTTTAAATATTTTACAGAATTTAGTTTTTTTCCTTGACATGTCAGAGGTGTGTGAAACACAGCGACTTTACCTTGAATAGGGAATGGGTAAAATAAGGCAGAGACTTACTGGGCTACCTTCCTAGATAGTTAGGCATTCTAAGTCACAGGATGAGATAGGAGGTCAGCACAAGATACAAATCATAAAGACCCTGCTAATCCAACAGGCTACAGTAAAGCCAGATGAAACCCACCAAAACCAAGATGGCGATGAGCGTGACCTCTGTTAGTTCTCACTGCTACACTCCCACCAATGCCATGGAAGTTTACAAATATCATGCTAACATCAGGAAGTTACCAACTCATGAATAGTCCACCTTTTGTTTAAGCATATAATCAAGAAATAACCATAAAATGGGCAACTAGGAGCTGATCTGCCTGTGGGGTAGCCATTCTTTATTCCTTGACTTTCCTAATAAACTTGTTTTCACATTACTATATGGACTTGTCCTGAATTCTTCCTTGCATAAGATCCAAGAATCCTCTCTTGGGGTCTGCATCAGGACCCCTTTCCAATAACATTTTTCTGGTGAACTGTGAAGGGATGATACTGAGGAGACCCCCTCCCCAGCCCAAAGGAATTAGACTACAGCACTGATTAGCCAACTTTGGGTAAGTAGTGGGGTACCCGGGTAAAGAATGTGATTGGGTCAGAGGCCCAATTTAGAGGAGTTAGAGTCTCTCCTAAAACAGAGGGTTGGCTGGGTGCAGTGGCTCATACCTATAATCCTAGCACTTAGGGAGACCAAGGCGGGTGGAACATCTGAGGTCGGGAATTCCAGACCAGCCTGACCAACATGGAGAAACTCCATCTCTACTAAAAGTACATAATTAGCCAGGCCTGATGGTACATGCTTGCAGTCCCAGCTACTCGGGAGGTTGAGGCAGGAGAATCGCTTGAACCCGAAAAACAGAGGTTGCAGTGAGCCAAGATTGTGTCATTGCAACCAGCTTGGACAATAAGAGCAAAACTCCATCTCAAAAAAAAAAAAAAAAAAAAATGGAGAGAGAGGGTTAAAAGCCCCTTTTAATAAAAGGCAATGACACTTGACCGAACTCGGTTTTGAGAACTTAGGAAGTTTAGAGTCCTTCCTAAGATTGAAGGGGTTAGAGGCCCCTCGCAGTAAAATCTCTCTCAGCTCAGAACAAGTTTGCACCATGGGATGTCAACTGCTATTTTCTTTGAATTAATTTCTCTTGCACTCTGCTGATGGCTATGGGTGATAGAATTAGGCATATGCAGGATCATGGAATACGGGGAGCTTTATTTCTCCCTAAGAGCGACACTTGAGAGCTGATAGCACAGTTGGAAAAGATTGCTTCACTACACGAGCAGTCACCTGAACCTTTCAGTGTTGCTATAATAGGTGGGTTTTTTCTGGCCTCCCTGAGCACCTTGCCTTTCCCACCCTGGCGCAGGTAATGTTTTTCTCTCTTTCTCTCCTTTCTCTTTTCTATTTTTCCTGTTACTCAGGGCAACTGTCTGCTCTTTCATCTTGCCCAGAGAACATATCTTTCATATGTTGAAAAATGTCCTTGGGAGCTTGAACTTGTAACCACATGGCAGTTTTTTCTCTTGGTTTCCACCATCCAACAGACAGGAATTTGGGGCTTCATGTCATACTTATTCCAAAAAATTATCTTGAGCAGTTAAAAGGTTTTGCAACCTCAGAATTGGCTTCTCTAAAATCCTTCTGGGAAGAAGAATGGAAACCAGCCAATGCTGTAGATCAATAGCTAAGGCTTCACCATTTTACAACGGGGACCCAGGGTTCAATCCTGGCTTAGGGAATGAGTCCTTTCTGGTTTAAAATCTGTATAACCTTTACCACTTGTTAATTCTCTTCTCCTCCATGAACCATCTTGAACTTTCCTTTCTCTGAGCACAAAAATGTTGGCCATTTGGCATGACTAAAGTCGGGTAATAAGAGATTTAAAATAATTTTTTAAAAAGAGTGCTATGGTTAAAAGCCAGCTGATTCAAGCTCTAACAGCCTGGAATGCCTTGGATAAAACAGAGGAGGCGTCACAGACCCCCTTTTGGAAAAACCTCTATTTTCCTCATAAAACCCAGGAATTAGAAGTGGATGGATCCTTCTCAAAATCCAAGGCTCTGTTCTGTTTTGCATTGCATTATCTGAAGTTTTTGACTTTGGAGAGCATCAGAAATTAAAATTACTACACATTATGAGGCGGTTTTGATGTGTAATAAATAAGTAGGAAATATAGTTTTGGGGATAGCTAA